TATCTATCTATCTATCTATCTATCTATCTATCTATCTATCATATCTATCTATCTATCTATCTATCTATCTATCTATCTATCTATCTATCTATCTATTGTCTATCTATCCATTTATCTATTATCTATCTATCTATCTATCTATCTATCTATCTATCTATCTATCTATCTATGTATCTATCTATCTATCTATCTATCATCTATCTATCTATGGTGGGTTTTTGAGACAAGGTTTCTCTGTGTAACAGCTCTGGCTGTCCCAGGACTTGCTTTGCAGACCAGGCTGGCCTTGAACTCACAGAGATCACCTGCCTCTGCCCCCCACCCCCAGTGCTGTGATTAAAGGCATGTGCCACGACCACCTGGCTAGACACTGTTTTAAAAGATGCTTTCAGTCTCCCCTAGAAACTCAGAATGAATATTTCTGGAGACTCAGTAGGATTTCCCAGAATAGCTGATAGATTCAGACTTAACGTGAGTTAGAACTGGGTTTTGCTATTATGGACTTCACCTTGGGTCTTCATTCTTTTCCTGGTGTACAACTCCTAAACAACTTTGGGATCTCCACAGTAGTTTATCTTTGTCTACAGTGACTGATGGCTGGCTGCCCCCTTGTTAGCTTCAGGATGGACTTGGTCACTGGAAGGTTCACTGCTCAACCCGCAGGGAAGGAGAGGGCCTGAATGTTGAGCTGGCCACCAGTGGACAAAGATCATGTCGGTATTAGAGTCTCCACAGACCCTCCCCAGACAGAGCGGAGTTCAGAGATGATCCAGAAAACAGAACATGTGGAGATTCCTGGGGGTGGGGGCAGAGAGGGCATGAAAACTCTGTTCCTCACACTTCATATCTGTTCTTCTATAACCATTGTGCCAACATTTGAAATCCACTGTCAAGATTTCCTGCTGAGCCGGGCAGTGATGGTGCACACCTTTAACCTCAGCACCTGGGAGGCAGAGGCAGGCGAATCTCTGTGAGTTCGAGGCCAGCCTGGTCTACAGAGTGATGTTCCAGGACAGCCAGAGCTACGCAGAGAAACCCTGTCTTAAAAAAATAAAAAAAGAAAAGAAAGAAAAAAGAAAGATTTCCTGCTGAGTTCTATAATCTGTATGGGGAAATGGATTGAACCACAGGTAAAGTGACTGGGATGTGTGGTCAACAGAGCTGTGAGTGTGGACATTGTCTCTGAGTGCAGGGAGTCAGAAATCTCTAATTTCTTCCTTGGGATGAATTACTTCATCAACCATTTCTCATGGGAGACCTTAAGGCTTGAGTCAGAAAAGCATAATAGACATGAACACTGGCTTTGGGCTCAGAAATGTGGGGTTAAGTTCCATCTCCAGGACAGGGTTGTCTGACCTTGGGCGGCTTTCATTCTGTAAACCTGTTTCCCTGTCTGCAAAAATGAAGGTAATAACAGCAGCACTTTGCACAGTTATCGAGGAAATCAGCTGGTCACCTCCCGCTCCTCCTCTTTGCCCCTTGCATGTGTGTGTGTGGAGGTTGACACAAGTGTCTTCCCCATAGCTTTCTATTTTGTCTGTTGAGGGAGAGCATGATGATCGCAGGGGTTTTGTCAGCTTGACACAAGCTAGAGTCATCCAGGAAGAGGGAACCCTGGTTGTGGCTGCATCACATTGCCTGTAGGCAAGTCCGTAGGACATGTTCTCGATTGATGACTGATGTGGGAGGGACCATTCCACAGTGGGTGGTGACTCTCCTGAGCAGGTGGTTCTGGGAAGTATGGAGCAGGTACCTGAATGAGAGCCTGGGAGCAAGCCAGTAACAGCAATCCTCCATGGTCTCTGCTTTAGTTCCCAACTCCAGGTTCCTGCCTCGAGTTCCTGTGCTGTAGGACTGACACTGTAAGATGAAATTAATCCACTCCTTCCCACGTTGTCTTTGGTTATGGTTGTTATCACAACAATAGAAAGATATCTAGGCCACAGGGTCTCTCACTGAACCTGGACCCCAACAACTCAGCTAGTTGCACCAGGGATCCCGTCTTTGCCTCGCAAGCACCGAGTGAGATTTTAGGCAGTCACCACACTCTCCCAGACTTTAAATGGCTTCTGGATTCCAAACTCTGGTCCTCACATTTGCCGGCAAGCGCTTTACACACAGCGCCATCTCCACAGCCCTAGATTTCATTTTTTTTTAAGAGTACTTTTATTCTAAGTGTTTGACACAGAGTACAGACACATGCAGGTCATTAGATTGGCCATTTTCAAAAAGTTTGGTTTCCAGGGCTAAGGATGTAGCTCAGCTGGTAGAAGGCTTGCTCATCTCTCAGGATGCCCTGGGTTCGATCCCCTTCACCACGTACACTGGGTACGGGGTTTTATACCTGTAATCTCAGGATTCAGGAGGTAGGAGCAGGGCTATCAGAAGGCGGTGTCATACTCGGCTACCTAGGGAGTTAGACAGATGCTGGTCTAGGCTAAAAGCGACCCAGCAGCTGTGCGTAATATAATATCTGCACAAGACCAAACCAGTCAACATTCTAGAATGGAGTGGGGAGGGGCTCACAAGCCACCACCCCTCACTGAAGAGCCGATGACAGTTGATGACTCCTGGCGGAGGGAGAGCCACTTTTAAGGCTACGGCCCCCGGCAGGTCAACTATGCCCCAGCCGATGGCCTCATGCTCTTATGGACAGCTCAAACCTGACTCAGTGGGTTATTTAAAAAAAAAAAAAAAAAAAAAGGAAGAAACCGAAAACCAAAAAAGGAGATGAAGTTGCGAAAAAAGGGATGGGAAGTGGACCTGAGAGGAGTTAGCAGGAAGGTGGGGGTAAGCATGATAAAATTATACTGTATGCATTGAAATTCTCAAAGAATAATAGAAATGTTTTTAAATGTTTGTTTTTTTTTTGTTTTTTTTTTTTGGGAAGCAGCACAATCGAGGTGAACAGTGAAGCTTTTTCTGTATTGATCATGTTTCTCAAATAAAACAAAATTTGCTAACTTGATGGGGGGAAAAAGACATCTGAAAGTTTTAACTGGGCAGCTCAGAGCTCGGCAAGGTGGTATAGCCTCGATGTTCTGTTTCTTCTTGAACAGAATGCTCT